ATGCTAAAAAAAAAAAAAAAAAAAATCTTAATGAAATCAAACCAAATCTTAATCTTAATCGAATTAAAAAATATAAATTGATTTAAAAAATCTGAATCCCTCGGCTCTATTTATATCTAATTGAATTTTGTTTTTGATTCCGTATAAGGACAGTTTTTAAATTCAAAGATGAAACTTAAAATAGTCTGTGCATCTGCTTACAATTACTTGTTCACTATGTAAATTTTATCTGGTTGTGTGATTTACACTATGGAATTATGCCTAGTTTTTGTAAGATTCCAAAACGCAGAAAACATTTTGTAAATTTAAAACTGTAAAACTCATTTTAACAAATTTCATGAGTATATGTAACCATAATCTGACTTTATTCATTTATTCCCTTCATGTTTTCGTGATAGACAATACATGGGTTCCTTGCTGACTATCCACCTAATAGTATACCTAATATAGCTCTATCGCACCAACGGCGTTGCTTATAAGCAACGACGGCGATCCTTATAAAAACAAAAGACATTACACACAAACGTCATTTGTATATCAAAATAATATCCTTAAAACTACATATACTGGTAGTAACCCGTTCAACGTCAATAACCCTGTTAAACAGCACCCAAAACTATCGTGTTCCAGGCCATCATTGTCAAAGTACGTCACCAGACGAAACGACTCAGTCGGTGGAAGACGAAGGAGAAACGAAAAAAAGTGCGCCCCCTCCGATAGAGCGCACGAAAACCACACGACCGATGGACCTATACATCAAAATATGTAATTTAGCAGTCACACCTGAATATACTGGTTTCGAGCCAACGTTCCCGACAGATCCAAGATCAACCGAACCCGTAGTAAGTATCACACTACAATTCCAAAAAAAAAAAGGAAAAAAAATTGTATAGTATACCCACGAAAGATTGCATACAGTTTATCTGTCGATGCCACTGTTTACCAGCAGCCGGGCAGTTAGGCGAGTCAAGGGGGTGTTATCACGGCAAAAACGTAATTTCCACACAACGTTTGTCGGAGATATCACGAATGAAATAGACGGTAATTCACCAGGAAACGGCTCTCTGTTACCACACACCCACCCCCCCCCACANAAAAAAAAAAAAAAAAAAAAAAAAAAAAAAAAACCCAAACGCCGGGAAAAAAACACAGTAATATCGTATGTTCATTTTCGCTTGTTTTCAGATCTGGATTCCAGTAGGTACTCAGCCTCCGCCGTCCTACGTGACGACACGTAACCGCAGCAATAAATAACCCCGCCCTGCAAAGTATCGAACCGCTCGCCACACATCTCTGGATTTTAACCAATTCCATTTTAACAAATTTCATAAGTATATGTAACCATTAAATAGACACATGCATTTCTCTGGATTTTAATAAATTTCATTTTAATAAATTTCAACAGACATTAGCATTAAGAGATCTCCTATTGTACCCCATAAGCAACGACGGCGTTGCTTATAAGCAAGGACGGTGTATTAGAATTAAAGTCGTGCAATTTCCAGCACGGACAATTCTCCGCTTATCGCCAATAACTCTATCCATTACCGACACATATGTAGCGAAAAATTCGATTTATTCGATTGGTGATATCGATTAATATCGACGACAATATGAAAAAAAGGGTGACCTCGTATAGACGCCCAAGGAAGTGGACGAACAGAACGGTACAATCAGCATACGTTGAAGGAAAGGTGCACCGGCCACACAAACCCTGAGTGGAGGGGAACCTTCATATATTATGATTCGGTGATTCGATCATATGCCAACAGCTTAAATCTCGACGATATTTGGCTTTGATACGTATCGTAACACAATAATCTTGAATATTCCTATGTTGAGAAATTCATTGTGATATATTTTGGACCGCTGGCCACCACTCAGGGTTTGTGTTGCCGGTGCACCTTTCGTTCGACGTACGCTGACTGTACCGTGCTATTCGCCCACTTCCATGGATACCCTTATCTCATGACTACTTGTGAGTTTATTATGTACGATGGTGATGCCTTAATATTCCCCTTCGTCGTCGATATTAATCTATATCGCCAACCGAATAAATCGAATTTTCGTCGTTGCTTATGAGGTACAATAGGAGATCCAATAATATTTCCCTTAATATACATCACAATGAATTTCTCAATACAGGAATATTCAAGATTATTTATCGGTGATCCGATCATATGCCAACAGCTTAAAACTCGACGGTATTTGGCTTCGATAGGTATCGTAACACACTAATCTTGAATATTCCTGTGTTGAGAAATTCGTTGTGATGTATATTTAGGGAAGCATTATTGGATCTCCTATTGTACCCCAAAGCAACGACGGCGTTGCTTATAAGCAACAACGGCGTTGTTTATAAGCAACGACGGCGTTGCTTCCACATTCCGCGCGGATACGCGGGTTCCGGGTTGCGTTATTCGTCGCGCGTCCAGATTCTCTGCGCAAACAGCGTCGTGACTTAAAAAGTTTGATCGCAGCTGCGTACGAGAATCAGTACGGGAGGATGGATCTGAGACAAAGTCGCCAACTTTGCGATAGGCACAAGGAATCGATACGCTTAAACTAAACTTTCTTTTAAAAAAATGTCAGTATGAAGAAATCAACTTTCAGAACTTTGAAGTATGCACAAGTTAAACTTCGTAAAGATTTGATCTTGCTCACAAGTTTGAAACAGAATTTTAAAAAAAAAAAATAGTTTTTCTGCTGCCCCAGGGATTATTTGAGCTATCTGCAGCTTTGAAAATTTACTACGTAAAGTAAGATTTGCGAATTAAATTCGACTGATAATATAAAATTTCAATGAAATATACTCAAGACTTTTGTCTAAAAAAAAAAGAATTAATTCTTTTCTGCTGCCCCAGAAATGATCTGCAGTAAAATTTGTGAATATAATTTCACTGATAACAATTTCAAATTTTGACTGTTTGTCTAAATTTTTGAAAATAATTTTCTGCTGCCCCAGAAAATTCGAAGGAAAATCCGTGAATCGAATTTCCCTGAAAATTTAATGCTCCCAACGAAACTTACTTTAAACTTTCGGCTAATTTTTCACTTTAAAGCAAATGAAAATTTTAGATTTGGATGGACGATTGCAGTGAAAAATTTACCTAGAGTTTCGTAAGCAGTTCTTAATTTGAGAATGGGAAAAAAAATCANGGCAACTGGAAGTTAAACTCTTTCACAAGATCCATTACTGACTCCGTAGACGGAAAAGCTCTTTTCCATATTTTTTCTAAAATGGAAGAATGAGATGCAGTAGTGAAGAAGTTCTGAATAGTGCTATGCAGTCTTGAAAGATGTGCGAATTTAAAATAGTGCATAGGAATAAGAAACTGACCAGATTATCCCGGAACTCTTGGTCGAAGGCTTCATAAGGCTTTCCATCAAGCTGTTGCGATATCTTCTTGTTTAAATCCTTGAATTCTTTTTCATGAATCATGGGCAACTGGAAGTTAAACTCTTTCACAAGATCCATTACTGACTCCGTAGACGGAAAAGCTCTTTTCCATATTTTTTCTAAAATGGAAGAATGAGATGCAGTAGTGAAGAAGTTCTGAATAGTGCTATGCAGTCTTGAAAGATGTGCGAATTTAAAATAGTGCATAGGAATAAGAAACTGACCAGATTATCCCGGAACTCTTGGTCGAAGGCTTCATAAGGCTTTCCATCAAGCTGTTGCGATATCTTCTTGTTTAAATCCTTGAATTCTTTTTCATGAATCATGGGCAACTGGAAGTTAAACTCTTTCACAAGATCCATTACTGACTCCGTAGACGGAAAAGCTCTTTTCCATATTTTTTCTAAAATGGAAGAATGAGATGCAGTAGTGAAGAAGTTCTGAATAGTGCTATGCAGTCTTGAAAGATGTGCGAATTTAAAATAGTGCATAGGAATAAGAAACTGACCAGATTATCCCGGAACTCTTGGTCGAAGGCTTCATAAGGCTTTCCATCAAGCTGTTGCGATATCTTCTTGTTTAAATCCTTGAATTCTTTTTCATGAATCATGGGCAACTGGAAGTTAAACTCTTTCACAAGATCCATTACTGACTCCGTAGACGGAAAAGCTCTTTTCCATATTTTTTCTAAAATGGAAGAATGAGATGCAGTAGTGAAGAAGTTCTGAATAGTGCTATGCAGTCTTGAAAGATGTGCGAATTTAAAATAGTGCATAGGAATAAGAAACTGACCAGATTATCCCGGAACTCTTGGTCGAAGGCTTCATAAGGCTTTCCATCAAGCTGTTGCGATATCTTCTTGTTTAAATCCTTGAATTCTTTTTCATGAATCATGGGCAACTGGAAGTTAAACTCTTTCACAAGATCCATTACTGACTCCGTAGACGGAAAAGCTCTTTTCCATATTTTTTCTAAAATGGAAGAATGAGATGCAGTAGTGAAGAAGTTCTGAATAGTGCTATGCAGTCTTGAAAGATGTGCGAATTTAAAATAGTGCATAGGAATAAGAAACTGACCAGATTATCCCGGAACTCTTGGTCGAAGGCTTCATAAGGCTTTCCATCAAGCTGTTGCGATATCTTCTTGTTTAAATCCTTGAATTCTTTTTCATGAATCATGGGCAACTGGAAGTTTAACTCTTTCACAAGATCCATTACTGACTCCGTAGACGGAAAAGCTCTTTTCCATATTTTTTCTAAAATGGAAGAATGAGATGCAGTAGTGAAGAAGTTCTGAATAGTGCTATGCAGTCTTGAAAGATGTGCGAATTTAAAATAGTGCATAGGAATAAGAAACTGACCAGATTATCCCGGAACTCTTGGTCGAAGGCTTCATAAGGCTTTCCATCAAGCTGTTGCGATATCTTCTTGTTTAAATCCTTGAATTCTTTTTCATGAATCATGGGCAACTGGAAGTTTAACTCTTTCACAAGATCCATTACTGACTCCGTAGACGGAAAAGCTCTTTTCCATATTTTTTCTAAAATGGAAGAATGAGATGCAGTAGTGAAGAAGTTCTGAATAGTGCTATGCAGTCTTGAAAGATGTGCGAATTTAAAATAGTGCATAGGAATAAGAAACTGACCAGATTATCCCGGAACTCTTGGTCGAAGGCTTCATAAGGCTTTCCATCAAGCTGTTGCGATATCTTCTTGTTTAAATCCTTGAATTCTTTTTCATGAATCATGGGCAACTGGAAGTTTAACTCTTTCACAAGATCCATTACTGACTCCGTAGACGGAAAAGCTCTTTTACATATTTTTTCTAAAATGGAAGAATGAGATGCAGTAGTCTTCACAACCACTTTCATATTCCGATTGAGAACTCTCACTTAATCTGAGGAGAAGAAGCAATCAAGCATGTACCATTTCAATAGTTGTGAGAAAAAAATTGACAAGTTTCTGTTGAGGAATTTTCTTCGAAACTATGATAATAGTATACGTATTTTAGCGCAATGCAAACATCAAAGAAAACTATATTGTCAACTTTCAATCTGCAACTTTTGAATTACGCAGTATAATTCAGTTCCATTTCGGGATAGAACATGAACTTCAGAAGAAGTAAATTTGATATTTCTTTTATACGTCTACATTTTGGTAATGTGCTTACATAACTCATGATTCATGATTGTCGCTATTTGTATTCTTTCTTATTTTCTTTACTGAGAGGTAAAAATTAACCTCTTGTTAAAAAAAATAAAACCCAACTCCAGCTTCTTCTTTTCTTTTAAAAATATTTAATATATGTACAGTTTCAAATTTTTTCTATTATTTTCAAATTTTTTCAAAATCCAAGAATTCAATTTCTAAATTAGACATTTTTTGGTGGGGAACAGAATTCATGTGCTAGGTATTTTGGGAGATTCCGTAGATAATTATTAAGAAACAACATTTTTCAACACAGTAATTGCGCTGGTTCCTTTTTGCTAAATGCAATTCATTTATTACTCATTGATGCTATGAAATGCCGTACAATATTTTAGTTCTCCTGTTCATTAGTATTATTATTTTTCGTGATAATTGATAATGATGAGTTCATTAGTATTATTATTTTTTGTGATAATTGATTATTATGATGTGATACATGGTGATATTATGAGAAAAGATAATTTTTATTCACACTGTGTCAGAGAAAGTCCATTTCTGAAAGAGAGAAAGCGTTTTTTATCAGGTGGCTGGAATACTGGTGTGTTTAAAGTTTCCTCATTTCATCAGTTGCAAAGCTAGAAAAAGAACAGCATGCGGTAGACAGTATCAGCAGAATTGAGCTCATTAAATCAAGATCTAATTATGCTAATGGTGACAGATTGTCTCCGCTGTGATGACCCATCTTTTCACTTGACACTCTTTAATACACTGCAGAGAGAGACCCACAAGTCATGCATTGTAAGAAATTGAACAATGGCTACCCCTCATCCCTCTGAAAGATCTCTGACCGCTTAACTGAATGTTTTTAGCCACAGAGAAATCACAATCTTAGTGTTAAAATTTATCTCAGTGCCGTATTCTGATGACTGCCTATTTAAATTCTATGCTGATTTTGCATTTAAGGTATTTATATATATGCATCACGGTTCCTTATTTTCTGCAAAATACAGGTTCTCAAGTGAGTCTGGCCATCACGGCCGGGATTGATCTTTTACGTCTACAGATGTTAATCTCATTTACCAGTTCAGCTCTGCCAATGATGCCTAATTTCTGATCGTTGTGGTTAAAGTATTATATCTTATCGAATTTGACTTGTGTTCTTATCAATCTTTGATAGCTTCCTATTTTGCCAATGATCCATATTGTCTTTCTCTGCCACAAATGCCTTGAATAAAATTCTGCATTGTTCTATAGCTCAGGTGTTAAAGCTGTATGCCAAAAATGCTTTTACATTACTGAGGATATAAATGAAAGTCCAAAGTGAGCGCTCTTATTGGAATTTACCGAAAGTACTAAAAGGGGATAGTTGCATATTAATTATGTTTTTTTCAGTAACGAGAGATAGTCATGTTTCTTACTTCATATGAGTACTTTTAGGAGATTTTCTTTTCTAGTCTTCACTAAGGTGCCTCTTTAATCTGTACCATTGCTTTGGTTCAAAATGTATTTTCTCTACAATTTTTGGACGGTGTTTCTCAATATACTATGACTTAAAGGTTGTTTTATTTGTGTTTTTGACTGTTCTATTTCACCTCTTCTTTCGTGTTTATGTGCTCATTTTTCTTGTATTGTCACTTGAACAAGTGTACTTGACTTTAATTTCGTTTAAAATATTTTTTGAACTTATAATATACATTTATAAGTAGTGTTTCTCAATATGTGACTTAAAGGCTGTTTTATTTATGTTTTTGATTGTTCTATTTCACCTCTTCTTTCGTGTTTATTTGTTCATTTTTTTATTTTGTCACTTGAACAAGTGTACTTAACTTACAATTTCGTTCAATATATTTTTTGATCTTTATTACTTGATGCGTTACGGTTCCTTGTCTAAATGAATGCGTACCTACGTATCCTCTTTCCAGATTTCCAAGTGTTGTTTTCCCGATAAAATGCCTTTTGCTAATCCAGGAACTCGACACAAGATCAGGATGGGAGCACTGGGAAAAAAAACACATTGGATCTAGAGCCCAGACTCTTGAAAACATTGACAAGAAAATGGACTCTTGATTCAATCAGATGTAAGCTTAAATCAAGAACCAAGCCTCTTAATTTGAGCGGATTTCCTTTTGATTTAAGCTTAAATCTGATTGAATCAGGAGTCCAGTTTCTTGTCGATGTTATTAAGAGTCTGGACTCTAGATCCAATGTTTTTTTTTTTTTTCCAGTGAGATACAAAGGCACGCTGCTCATCAAATAAATTGGGAATATTTTCGGAAAATTCCCAAGAATAATCGAAGAATATTCCTACGTGTATTATAGGAGCGTTCCGAGAATATTCTCGCAGAATTTTCCCAAAATATTCAACACATAAGTCCTTGGAATGTTCTCAGAACATTCTAGCGAATATTCCCAAAAGTGGGTAAATAAATAATATTCCCAGAACATTCCCCGGAATCTTCAGAGAAATTTCCAATTTTCCAAGGAATATTCTCAGAATATCCTACGAAATTTCCGTTGTTTGCAGGGTGAGAGGGACCGTCGCAGATTTCTGAGCCAAGTGCGAAAACTAGTCTCAGCAAACGGTAAAGAGTGTCGATGGAAAAATAGGGGACTTGTGATCGATGGCCAGTTTCTAGAATATGAGGAAATCAAAAGAAAATATGAAGATGCAGTCAATGCGGGTGTGAGCGAAAATAATGCAGAAGAAACGGTTACGCCAGAAGTGGATGATGTAGGATCAGCCCGAAAGAGGAAGCGCGGAGGCCTTGAGAACACCCGTAAGCCGAAAGTAGATTCGATGAATCTGAACAACTTTTTTCGGCCAGCGCCAACCTCAACCCAACCAACAAAAGACAGCCTCTCTCGTGAACTTTAAACCAACGTCAGCAATGCAACAAACAAAAGTTGTGAACACGCAACTTAACGATACCAGCCCAGCAAACCCGATCAAAATCTTTCAATGGAACTGCCAAGGTTGGGGTAACATCTACAACCTAACTACATCGGAGGTAAAGAAAATCCTAGAGCATGACATTATAATAATGTATGAAACCTGGCTCGTTAATGAGGTGAAAAGTGATACTTTTAAAAAGTACATGTCAGTCTCCTGTAACGCCATTAAAGAAAACTCTAAAGGTACAGCTTCTGAAGGAGTGATAATTTTGATAAACAGAGACTTAATAAGAAATGAAAGTGATTTAAAAATTGTAGATAAATGTTATTTGTGGATTTTCCTAGAGCTAAAGAACTTCGCTAATTGTATAGTCATAGGAGCAGTGTACATAAGCCCAGGAAAAAACGATGAGGTGTGGGTGGAACTTATTGAGGAATCACTAGTAAGTGTAACGGAAAGGTCGAAAAATGCACACATATACATATTAGGTTATTTTAATGCTAGAGTAGGGGAATTAAATCAACTGAACCAACTTAAGGGGGATGAAAATAATCCTCCTACATGCACAAATCTTGATATAGTTAGAAGATCAAGCGATGAAAAAGTAACTAAGAGAGGAACCCCACTTACTGAAGTAATGGAAGCGTCTGGCATGTTACTGATAAATGGGCGTTCATTTTCTGACTCTCCTGCTCAATTCACCTCCGTAAATACCAATGGGAAAAGTGTAATAGACTTACCGTGGGTGAACTCACAAATTTGGGATCTAATACTAGATTTTTTAGTGATGAATAAATTCTCAGTATCTGATTATTTTCCTTGCTCTTTAATCCTTAAAACAAATGCAATGAGAAAAACGAATTACGGGATCCAAAATAAAATAAATGCGAGCTGGGAAATAACAAGAATTAAGCGGGACAAGGAAAAAACCAAATTGTTCAATGAGCAGTTAGAACTGATGTTACAAAATTATAAAAAGAATGAGAGAGAGAATGGGGTCCAAGACCAAGAAACATTAACCAGAGGTATTAAAGCAGTTGCCACTGAAATAGGCCTACAATAAGTAGTGAAAAGGGGTGGCAGTACGGCTACCGGAAGAAATCAATGGTTTGATCAAGAATGTAAGGTACAAAAAAGACTGGTAAATACAGCAGCCAGAACCATGGGCAACACAAATTTCGATCAGACCCATGTCAAGATCTTCCTCGTAGAAAAGAAAAAATACAAAGCACTGATTTAAAGTAAGAAGAGAATTGCTATTAATAAACTGAAAACGGAAATAGGAAATGTAAAAAAATCAAAGGAATTTCGGAAAACTGTAAAAAAACTAAAAGGTTTTAAAAAACATACAAACCCCATTGCAGTAGATACGTGGGAGCAATATTTACAGAACTTTTACGGGAGCGAGATTTCTTCAGAAACCGACTCTTATATGATGCTAGATAACTGATTTTAGATAGAGATATTAATAAAAAAGAATCAAATATGATTTTGCAAAAACTGAAGACAAATAAAACACCAGGCTCAGATGGAATAGCATACGAGTTCTTTAAAAACTTAGATAGCGAAGATGGAAAACCTGCACTTTTGCAAACGTTAAATAAAATTATGAACGCAAATTCCATCCCAAACGCATGGGGTGAAATTAAATTATCCTTGATAGTCAAAAAAGGTGACCCTCAAAATCCAGATAACTACAGAGGTATAGCATTAATTGATTCCATAACAAAATTTTAACCTACGTCATTGCTAACAGCATCAGCAATTTCGCCGAAGAGAATAACTTAATTCCAGAAAGTCAGGCTTGTTTTAGAGAGAAACGAGGATGCCAGGACAATATTTTCACTCTAACTTCACTTATTCAGATCCAAAACTTCAAAAAGCGTAAATCATCTAATTTTTGGTCGATTTTAAAAAAGCCCTTGATACTGTTAACCATAATTTGTCGTGGAAAAAATTATATAAATTAGGAGTGTCCAGTAATATTATAAGAATTTTAAGAAACCTCTATAAAATTGCAAACATTGTCGTAGATGTAGAGGGTCAATTATCAAAACCCGTTAAAATTAACAAAGGAGTCCTCCAAGGTGATCCGCTTAGTGCCTTAGCATTTACTCTCTTTATTGCAGATATTGAAACACAACTGAGAAAACATGTGAACGGAATAAAAATTACTCCCTTGGCGGAACGGAATAAAAATTACTCCCTTGGCGGATATTCTAATGTTAGCTTATGCGGATGATTTAGTTATTTTTGCTTATTCCCCTGGTGATGCTCAAAGAAAACTGAACCTCTTAAGAGAATATTGTTTAGAAAATGACTTGATTGTAAATGTGCTGAAAACAAAAATCCTCATTTGTCAGAGAGGGCAAAAGCCAAAATTTAGCCTCAAATTTATATATGGAGAAGAAGAAATTGAAATTGTGAACAGTTATGTTTATTTAAGGTTAAAATTTTTTAGTAATGGTTTGTTTGCGCAGCAAGCCCACGATGCTGTGGCAAGTGCCAACATCTCCGCGGGAACATTAAGACAGATTCTAGGTAAAGCTAAAAACGACTCGTTTGAAAGTGTCATTACTCTTTGGAATGCAATCACCACAACCTCGCTACTATACGCCAGTGAAATATGGGCCTCTAAGGTATATTAATCAGTTGGAAACAGCGCAATTACAGAAATGCACCCCGCACTACATCATCAGAGCAGAAGCGAATGTTGAGAAGCTAGAAACCAGGGTGATTGCTCGTGCATTATTTTGGCTACTTAAAATAGGAAACATGCCCAAAATCAGGTATCCAAAATTATGCCTAGATAAACTAATTGAACTAGATAAAAGTAGGATGAACAACATCAAACACAATTGG